TAGCTATCCGTCGCGTAATGTTAACAACCTCCTTCTCAGATATCCTTCTCATTCCACTTCCTTCTATTCTAAATCCTTTTCTGTCCAGGCTGTCAGGTTATGGAACACAAGGGGGACCTTGCATTCGGAGCATTCAGTCACTTGCTAGTTTCAAAGTCTCTGTCAAATCCCACTTTCTTTCCCTTTAAGTTCATATTGTCCTCTTTCTCATAGTTCCCTTCATATTTTCTGAAGATATGTGCATTATTAAGTATATGTATGTTTACGTATGTTTATATTTTATTATATATATTAATAGATATATTTATGTACAAATGTATATTTATGTTCATTACGTGCACCACCTACTATTTTCTTATCTTAATGTTACTTTCTCTACTGGTAGTCTGGAAGAGATTGCTTAGCGATAAGACCGCCTTTTGTATCAGTTTATGTATTATATCATTTTGTGTGTTTTCTTTGTCTGGTGCAATAAAGAGTTTAAATAAATAAAAAATAAATAACTACTTTAACTGACATGTCCCAGAGATCTTCCGTATTTTTTAAATTTAACTGTTTGAATATTTTTATGACATGAAAAGGGCTGACATGTGAAAATTTAAATGTTAAAGAGCAAGGGCTGACATTAGCCTCTAGTAATGTTTTTGCTCGAATTGGAGATGAGTCTAGAGAAGATGTAATATCAATCGGAATATTAGCAAAAAAATCTTGGAAAATATGAACTATATCTTTTGTTGCTGTTATTAACTTATTGTCATAATTTAATGAGAATTGATTGCAGGCTTTTTCAGACCGTCCAGTTTCTTTGTTTATAATTCCCCAGATGGTCTTAATTTTGTCAGAGGACTGATTAATTTGTTTATTTATAAAATTAGATTTGGCGGCAATACAAACTTGTTTGAAAATTTTAGAGTAATTTCTCACATAAGTCGTAAATTTGTCATCAAATCTATATTTTTTTTGATCATATAAATCAAATAAAATGTTTCTACTTTTAAGTATTCCTACTGTTGCCCATTCTGTAAATTTAGATTTAACACAATATTCTCTGTTCTTGAAAATATTCTGGTATTCCTTTGACAAAAGACTAATTAACTTGGTGTAAAGAATATCAGGATTATTAAGACTGACAGATTGTAACTCTAAGTCTAATTTATATTTAACCGTGCTTTTGTATTTATTAATATTGTAAGCATTTATTTGTCTTTTTGATCTTTTATTATTGGTATTTTTTTTAGTCTGATTACTAAACTTAACAACTTGACCACAGTGATCTGAAGGAAGTTTATTTATTATTAATTTTTCAATATACTCACAGTTACAAAAAACATTGTCAAGACAAGTAGCAGTCGTAGCGGTTACACGAGTGGGTTCCTTCAGGAACTCCTTCTTCAGTCTTTTAATTTGAGTAATGTCTTGAAAGACATTACTCAAATTAAAAGACTGAAATAAACTAATAATTTTTGTACATGTGGGTGTGTTACAAAGAATATCAACGTTAAAATCACCACACACAATGATTTTTTTACTGCTATTAAATACTTTTTTTAATATATCCTCCATCACCTCTTCAAATACATTATAATCACTATTAGGAGGCCTATAAACACATATAAGTATATAATTATCTAGTTCTATACATGAGATTTCTGTACAACACTCAATAGAAAGTCTAACAATGTCAGCACGTTCCTTTACTTTAATATTATTTCTTGCAATTATCATAGACCCACCTCTGTTAACTGACTTTCTATTGAAGCAGCTGACAACATTATAATTATTTAAACTGAACATCATATTGCTTTCTTTAAGCCAATGTTCAGTGAAACAGATAATGTCAATATTGTATTTTTCCAAAAATAATTGTATAATTAACTCACTGCCGGGAAAACTTTGTATGTTCTGATGAACAATTACCAATTCTAATTGCTTTCCCTTTGTCTTTGTTAGCAGTTTAAATCTGCAGTCAAATTACTTATATCACTATTTAAACAAAAATTAATAGAATTATTTGTTATGTCACAATTTTTATATTGAAGTTTACCATGTAAACTGTTCATGAAGTCAATATTATAAGCCACTAAAGTGGCTATTTTATTCTTAGAAGATTTAGAAATATACATTGTATCTTTTGTCAAATAATTGAATGTCCCCTTATCATCAAATTCAGGACCTATTACTGGGTATCTATCGCTCTCCTTCTAATAACAACGCAGACGATTTTATATACACACTGGATAATCATTTAAACAATTTGGAATCTTATAAGAATGTAATTTTGACTGGTGATATAAATTTAGATACCTTTAAGATACGGTGAGAAAAGTGATACCTCTACTTATGATTGCAGCAATAGGTTACAATACCTAAATATGTTGGCAACACATGGCATGCTACCGGGTCATGTACTGCCAACAAGGGATAGTAATTGTCTCGATCACTTCATTTTGAAACTTGATAGTGGTACAAACTCAGCACAGATAAATGTTTTTAATACTACTATCACTGACCACTGCATGATATTATTAATTTTACGTAACAAAAATAACGTCCGTAAATGTATAAAGACGAGGACTGTTACTGATTTCGAGAAAGCAGTACAAGATTTAAAAACTAATACTTTATCGGATTTACTATTGAATAATAACCCTAACTTACTGACTGATCAATTAATAGAAATATTAAGAAAAAGTATATCTGACAACACAATAACAAAATTTATATCATGTAAATATCGTACAATTAAACCATGGATAACGCCAGGTATTTTGCGTTGTATTAGAAATAGAAATAATATGCAAAAAAAGCTAAAAAGGAATCCAGAAAATGAAATACTAAAAATTACATACAGAAGGTACCGAAATTATTGTAATAATCTGATTAAAAAACTTAAATATAAATTCGAAAGAGATCAATTGCTAAAAAATAAAAAGAATTCTAAAATGCTATGGAAGTGTATAAATGACATAACTCACAGAAATAAAATAAAAAATAACAGTTATGAACTATTGCATTGTAGACCAACCCCTAAGGAATCTGTTGACTTTGTTAATGGATATTTTTCTAATATTGGACGAATTCTGGCCGAGAATATAAATTATCTAAACAAATTTAATATTTTTTCAAAATCTCAATTCGGCTTCCGACAGGGCATTTCGACTGAAGACGCTACTATTTCCCTAACATCTGAAATTACTAAAAACGTAGATAAAAACCAAAAATGTATAACAGTTTTTCTTGACTTAAAAAAAGCTTTTGATACAATTTCTGTGTGCACCCTGGTACAGAGACTCGAGAATATAGGTATTCGAGGACATCCCTTAAAACTTTTAAAGGACTATCTATGTGGTCGTAAGCAGAGAGTCAGAGTTGGGGAACTTGTTAGTGATGAGGCCGATGTAACCTTCGGGACGCCACAAGGTAGCGTCTTAGGACCTACATTGTTTTTAATATATATAAATAATTTGTGTAACCTGGATATTGAGAAAGGACAGGTCTTCTCATACGCTGATGATACTGCGGTGGTATTCTCTGGTCCCACTTGGGATGCTGTGCGTATCTCTGCCGAAACTGGACTAACCAAAATAGCCAAATGGCTGAACACAAACTTCCTAACGTTGAACGCCTCCAAAACTAATTACATATGCTTTTCTAAATACAATAATACACAACCGCCTCCTACATATCAAATTAAAATTCATACAGCTAACAGCCACAGTTATAACATATGCTCTTGTGACGTCATTGAAAGACAAGAAAGCGTAAAGTACCTCGGCGTAATTATTGACCAGCGTTTGTCCTGGTATGCCCATATAAATGTTGTAATGTCCAGAATGCATAAACTCGTATGGCTATTTAGAACATTAAGGTTAGTAACAAATAAGGAATTGTTAAATCAAATATATACATCAATAGCTCAATCTATTCTAACTTATTGTATTCCTGTCTGGGGTGGAGCAGCAAAGACTAAATTCCTAGAACTTGAGAGAGCTCAGAGATCCTTATTAAAAGTTATGTATTTCCAGAAACATAGATTTCCTACGGAAAAGCTCTATCAGATGTGTGATCTTCTTTCTTCCAGGCAACTTTACATAATCCAAGTAATATTAAGAGTACATAAAAACCTCTTTTATGACTCCAAATCTTTAAGCAAAAGAAGGAAGCACAATGTAGCACCTGTACAACCCGTTAGATCGACCTATGCTGGAAGACAGTTTGGTAAACAATCGACTTATATTTATAACGCTGTAAATAAAATTCTTAACATCTACCCTATGAATCTTTATACCTGTAAAAAAGTTTTAACAAAATGGCTAAAATCTAAAAACTATAACGAAATTGAAGCTATTTTGTACAGTTCTGGATGACAGCATGGTCTATGAGCAATTGGACTGTAGTCCTGAGGAATGTAGTCACAATGTAATATATATATACAATGATTATAATATTTTAATAAACATACATTTGCACCCAACACCCTTCCACACTTACATACACACACACACACACACACACACACACACAGTCTTTTACAGTAGAAACAAATTCTTAATATAATAATAAATAACCCTAGAAGAGCGTGATCTCCTATCACAAGTATTTAATTATGCTTACAAGGAGATCCCAGCCCCGGCTTAAGGAAGTATATAAATAAGAATATGTGATTGTTGATATGTAAAAAAAAAAAAAAATTCTAAAACATCTATGTTAATGAAATAAATTTATTATTATTTATTATTATTATTATTCGCGGTATTGGCAACATTCAATCTGTATATTCCCGCGGGTCTATCTCCCCTTACCTTTAAACCAGTTCATAGATCGTATCCTGTGATAACAACCCTGCAGTGGTTGTTGATGTAATTGCAGGCCCCCATCCTGAGATTGAGTTGCCTAGGCCTGTCGTTAATAGTACTAATCACCTTTCCGTAGCGAACCCCTCCTTTTATAAACCAGGGCCTATTGAGGTATTGTTAGGTGCCGACGTGTTCGGTTACATTATGCAACCTGAAAAATCGATTTCTCTTCCTCATGGTCTGACCGGCCTTTCAACCGTTTTTGGTTGTGTGTTGTCTGGACCTGTTGCTGGTAATTTCCCCGACCTTGAACCCCCTATGACTGGCATTTCTCTATCCCAGGTCGTAGATAAATTTTGGAAAATTGAGGAACTGCCTCAAGTTCTCAATCCCAATCCTGAGGAGTTAGAGTGCGAACGTATTTTTAAGAATGGAATCGCCCGTGAGAGTGACGGTCGTTTTATGGTCCGACTTCCGTTTATCTATGATCGTCCCCAGCTTGGTGAATCCAAGTCTACAGCGGTTCAGTGTTTCCTAAATTTAGAAAGACGTTTCAATGCCAACTCAGAGGTTCGTGAAAAATATATTATATTTATGCGTGAGTACATAGATCTTCACCATATGTCTCCCATTTCCTATAATCCATCATTACTTGAGCATTATTATATTCCCCATCAGGGAGTGTTTAAGGCCGACGACCACTCTAAAATTCGTGTTGTTTTTAATGGAAGTAGTCCAACCTCTAATGGTATTTCATTAAACCAGTGTTTACACACAGGTCCCAAGCTCCAACGAGATATCACTCATATCCTTCTTAATTTCCGTAGACATGCTGTGGTCTTTGTGACAGACATAAAAATGATGTTCCGGATGACCTGGGTGCACCCCAATGATCGTCAGTATCAGTTAATCTTGTGGCGTGAATCCCCATCTGCACTTCTTGTTACGTACGAGTTAGCTACAAATACTTACGGCCTACGGTCTAGTCCCTACATTTCCATTCGTACCCTTTTAGAGCTTGCTGAACGTGAGCGCTCATCATACCCACGAGCAGCTGCTGTTCTGGTAAATGATATTTATGTTGATGACTGCCTAACCGGAGCGAGTTCACTCGGTGAAGCTCAAATATTAAAAACAGAACTTCAGTCCCTAATGGCCTGTGGTGGTTATGAGTTGAGAAAATGGATCAGTAATGAACCCGAATTGCTCAAAGACATACCCCTCGAACATCTACAGAGTCCATGTGAATTTCATGACCCAGATAACCCACCAACCATTCCTGTACTTGGTATTCAGTATAATCCGACTGCAGATTCCTTTACATGCAGTTTTTCCTTTAAGCCTCAGAAGTCCCTAACCAAGCGTACAGTTCTCTCCCTCATCGATCGTATTTATGATCCATGTGGATGAATATCTCCAGTTGTATTTAAAGCCAAAGCGTTTATACAACGTCTATGGATGTCGGGCCTCAACTGGGATAAACCTCTTAACCAATCCCTTTCTGATGAGTGGTTATTATTTGTACAAGACCAGGAGAATATTAAACAGCTGAGCATTCCTCGTCGGATATTGCCTGCGGATGCCACTTCCATTTCCTTACACGGCTTTTGTGATGCTTCGGAGGCTGGTTATGCAGCTGTTGTATACCTTAGGACTGAATCCTATTCTGGCCATTGCTCCGTCCATCTCCTCATTTCTAAGAGTAAGATTGCCCCTATCCGTACTCGTCTCACAATTCCCAAGCTGGAATTGCAAGGAGCTGTGCTCCTCACAAAATTAATTCATCACGTTACCATTTGTCTACAGAAGGTAATCGTGTTGGATGCTATCCATAGTTGGACGGATAGCAAAATTGTGCTGGCATGGATAAAGACTCCTCCTCACCTGCTTCAAACATTCGAAGCAAACCGCGTGTCTCAAATCATCTCATCCGATTTCCCTTCCGAGTGGCATCATGTTCCTGGTTCTATTAACCCTAGCGATTGCGCTTCCCGAGGTCTTAGCGCATCGTCTCTTCTTAACCATGATCTATGGTGCTCTCCTTCCTGGTTGACAGAATTCCCTAATCATTGGCCTATTGGTGCAGACTTGACAAACAATCCTATTGATTCTTTACCTGGCCTTCGCTGTTTGTTAATTGAAATACCTACGCTAGCTATGGATCTCTCGTTTCTCCTCGACCGGTATAGTTCCTTAAATAAACTAGTCGGAGTGTTAGGCTTTATTCTGCGTTTTATTTATAATGTTAAATATGTTAATTTACGTGTTATTAATCCTTACCTTTCTGTTGACGAACGACGTAATTCTTTGTTGATGCTTATTAAAGCAACCCAGTTACATGCATTTTCTAACGAAATAGAATCCTTAAAATGCGGTAATGTTATTAAATCCCCTTTAAAACGGCTGTCGTGTTTCCTAGATGAAAACGGTTTAGTCAGAGTTGGCGGACGTATACGTAATTCTGAACTCCCATACGATGCTCGTCACCCATTACTTTTACCTAAGTCTGGCCCCCTTGTTAAATTAATAATTTCCCATTATCATATCGAAAAATTCTCATGCTGGTCCTAATGCCTTACATGCTATCCTTTCCCGTGAATACTGGATATTATCGGCTGTAACGATCGCCCCTTTCCCTAATAAGTTTTTTGGATAATATTTTATTCTCTTCTTCTAATTAATTGGATAATATAATAATTATTTAAATATATAGATCAGAAACGAGAACACTCAATCATTTGGCCATATAAATAATGATATGTGATCGTCTAGTATCGGAGGACCTGTTGTGTATGTGTAGTAACTATAGATTCTTTGATTGGTATATGACGGAGTAATAACTACGAGATAAATACATATCTCGATAATACAAATTATGATACAAAGTATATGTTATGAATAATAATTATACAGTAAATAATTTAAAGTGAAATCATTATGGTTTTAATAATTAAGAGGGCCCCCTAAGGGGCAGAGGAGACTGGCTCCATCCACACGCCAAGCCTCAAGTGGAAGACTTACCAACTAACTTGTTCCTTCCCCCTTGAATATGGAATATGCAAAGTAGGATTGCGATATACACCATTTGAAGGTGAGATGGGATGAGTATTCTCAGCACCAAAACAAGTTTAGTTTATATTATTAAATCAACATTACAAGTGGCTTCACCAAGCTTGTGATGCTTCAAGTAGATAAATAAAGATATAGTTGCCAAAGGCAAATCGAACTGAATTCAGGATCACTCACGACACAGAAGCTTACTTATGGATATTGACCCCTTCAGTTCCATGAGGCGATAGAGAGACCGTCAAAGAGACTGCCGACCTCGAAACTAAATCCCAGCATCACTCAGTCACAGAGCCCACCTAATTGGGAACACCCCGGCCCCAGTGCGACAGTGGAGATCAGACTGAAGATACGAGTCGTAACAGAAACTAGGAGGTCACTCAAAAGCCAGAACTTACTAATGGATCCCAGTATCCCTTCAGCCCTATAATGTGACATTGGAGATCACCCGTAATTGCAGTACGATAAATAGTAGAGTGGTATGATAGCCCGATGCCATCAACACCACAATATTGGTCAATCCAATATATAATGTTGATAATTGCTATATTACAAACATAGCATGTATAATTTATAAATTTCATTAATACCGATAATACTCGAGGAAATAAGGATTATGTATTCGTTAATCAGAGCTAGGCTCTGTTATGATATGTTATATTTAAATAAGATTACTTACATTGTAATCATTATATTAGTGAGATATTGTAAGCGAGGACCATAAGTCCCAAATCTAAATAGACATGTCTGGATGATCCACATGATGAACCAACTAGAAGATAATGTTTAGTTTATATAAGGACTGCACGTCCAAATATATATCAGTAGGATTTGATTAATCACATAGTGAAATAATCAGAATAATATAGATAATAATGTCAAAGGTCTATGACATGGATTATTGTGATGTATGAACATCCACTAGGTGGATAGTCGATGTGATACAGGACCGGAGTCCTTAGATGTAAAGGCCAAAGTCTAAGATAATTGATGAAATGATTAGCCATAAAAATGGATAATCATAAATATATATAGATTGAGGACCGAAGCCCATAGAAGTGATTATATTTATGTATACATAAACATATATACATAATATGTATATATAAATTAAAGGACTAAGAGTCCTAATATGATTAAGTTGAGCACTACAGTAAGTTGAACACTAAAGTAATTAGTATTTGTTATTAAGGCCAAGGACCTTAAAATAAACTTTTATTTTATTGAATTGTCTGGAACAAGGAAAATAATAATAAATATCTTAATTAATAAAGAACCGAAGAAATACTCTAATAATAACCAATAAGAATTAATAGATACCAGTTTAATTAGTAATTATACTTTTATATGTGTGTGAATTGTCCTGAGATTATTATTATTATATGTATACGTTTATTAAACCCACTAATTATGATGACGATTTAGGCCCTCATACTGGCCACTGATGGTTCAGGGAGAGAACCACAAGTGGTGCCCGAGACTTGTGACACGGGTGTAGGTTTAAAGGACCCTTTTAAAATGCACTAACACTCACCTTCACTACTTCTGGTAAACTCCCAGATCTCATCTAATAAACCCCCCAATGCGTACAATTTTCACAATTACATATCTGTTGTTATATGATAACTATATATTATAATTAGGCAATTCTACTATTTACGGAAAGCAAAATAAGTCTCTATAGCTATAAGGGAGTCATATTGAACAGCATTGCTATTGCTTCAGCTGATTAATATAGATAATATTGATTACGGATTAATTCATCTATTATATACATATTTGTGCAGTGTAATAATTTGTATTATATAATAAATGTGATATGTGTCCTAAATCTTTACCTACATAACACCATATGTCCAAGGTAGCAACATATCTCTATATTGATACACCACACATATAACGCACATATAGTAAAGTTCAGGGTGTGAGACCTAGATAACCACATAGTTATCAACTAAACTGAAGTCCCTATTGGTTGTAGAAATCTCCACAGGGATCGTGGTCTAAAACCTTCATTGCGAGCTTTGACCCATCTCTCCTCAAATGATGGAACATGTGACTTCATCATAGATTCATCGATCTGAGCCTCTCTCTCCTCCTGATGAAAACTTCCACAACTAATTCAGAAATTATACTTCCTTACTAAAGCCTCCATAGAGATTTACGGATCATAATATATCATCAAAAACTCTTGGAAAATGTCACTTCAATAGTTCAATCATCGATACAAATATTTTCCTCCTTCTAGTGAAGCCTTCAGTAACCACGAACTCCCCCATGCGACACCTTTTGTAGAATGTATATAATTGTAGTATGGGTAAGTACTAAATCCCAACCAGGCAGTATCCCTCTATTTGAAATAGCAACCTTGCATTACTATCACAAACAAAGAATACTACAAAGCTAGTTATTCTGTGTTAGTAATAAAATATTTGAAATAAATAATTAATAGATGAATTTAGTAAGGGAAATATTTACCGTTGGCAAGTAATTGAATTATTAATAGCTACACAAGTGCAACAAAGTTCTATTATAACTCCATTAGATTACTTTTATTTATTTAAAGTAAATTTGCTATTATCTGAATTCTTATTGTAAATATTAAATTACCTATAAACGTTGAAGATTTTAACATGAGGAAATTCCTTAACATCGAACAAGAAAGTACCAAACGCTGTATAACGTATATGCTTAAGAAATAAATAAATATAATATAAACCGATACACGAATTTCTAGAGACTATAACGTACGTAAAGATTCAATTATTCTAATATATATTTTACCCATTGTATGATGTACAATTACATAGGATTTAAGCACATAGTAAAACACACAATTTATATGTAGAAAAGGAAATAAACACATGTAGAACCTAAAGAAAATAATTTTATAATACTAACATGCACAAAATAAAACAATAATATAAAAATAATAAAATCACACAATTTATAAAAAAGTAAATAAACATATGTAATACCTAGAGAAAATGATTTTATAATACTAACATGCACACAATAACTCAATAACAGAAAATAACAAAATTATACACATGTATGTCTGCATAATAATTTACATGCGCTACGCATGTAACTCGAACCCGCGACTGCAGGAAACAGCGTACAGCTTACCACCAAACCATAGAGGCTCTCAATCTTATTATAACTTTAATATCTAACATTTAAACAAGGCTTAGATTATGGCCATAAGTCGACTTAACATACATCTAACCGAGTTTAATAATCCTATTATTTGCAATTATAAATTTAGCTGGATCAACACATCCTAAATATTATCTTCTCAATAAATTTCAGAATGCCTCATTTAAAGTAAAAGAATTAAATCACTTACCGAGATGCTCGACAGGAACCACTAATAAAATAATTAATTAAACACTTGCTCACCTCACGGTCACTCCCGACTAATCCCTTCTAACACCCATATTGGCTATTTATAGACATTTTTGTTTACCAATGTACATTAGTGTGCGTAAATCAAAGCTATCGTTTTGAGCTGATGAATTCTATGAAATAAGATTGAAACAATTTTTATTTAATATTATTTTTGTATTGTTTTTACGTAAAATTATTTAATATATCTTATTTATTAAACCATATGATGTTTCTATTTATAATTATTTTATTTTTTAAATAATCTAGTTTATAGAAATTAAATCAATGTTTAGTTAGTGAATTAAAGTCCTAAAATGAATTGTTTTTAAAATCTAATACAATTTTTGAACTAAATATTTGTAATATACTTATGGGTATAGGTGAACCGTCGCGGCCCGACGTGCTATTCAAAACATAATATTTCATTGTCTCTCTTGTTACCGCCTTAAAGCATCCGTATCTCAACCCCCTATGGGTGATCTACCCACGGACCAGGTTACTTCGGCTAGACCATTTTCTCGTGTTGGCACTGACTTTGCGGGCTCTTTCTATACTAAAGTACAATCCTATCGAAATAAGAAAATAGTAAAGAGTTATCTGTGTGTATTTGTTTGCCTGTGAACTAAAGCGGTACATTTAGAAGTAGTATCCGACCTTACGACTGAATCTTTCCTATCTACCTTTACCCGATTTGTTGCGCGTCGCGGATTACCTACCCTTATGCGTTCGGATTGTGGACGAAATTATATAGGAGCGAGTAACTATATTAGAGAGCTTGATTCATTCCTGTCCCAAAAGCATGATGATCTTGCTTCACAACTAGCCCGCAAGAATATAAATTGGGAATTTGACCCACCGGCCTGTCCTTATTGGGGAGGATTGTTTGAAGCAGCCGTTAAGTCTGCCAAGACGCACCTTAAACGAGTAATCGGTGAAAATCCCCTTACCTTTGAAGAATTGACCACTGTATTTGCAAAAATTGAGCCTGTACTTAACTCTCGGCCTTTGTGTTCCTTATCTCAAGATCCCAATGATCTTGAAGTGTTAACCCCTGGTCACTTTCTCATTGGTCAACCCCTTACTGCGTTACCCGAGTACCCATTGAGAGACGAGAAGCAGCATCGCATTTCACGCTTTCACTTATTGCAACAAATTACTCAACATTTTTGGTCGCGGTGGCATTCAGAGTACCTATCAACCCTTCAAACTCGTAATAAGTGGACTTCTCCTATGAATCCTCCTAATGTTGATGAATTGGTTTTGATAAAGGATGACAACCTCCCTCCTTTGGAGTGGCGCCGCGGACGTATAGTACAGTTATTTCTTGGTCAAGACGGTGTAATTCGAGTAGTCGAGGTCAAAACCTCTACTGGTTCCTTAAAACGTTCTCTTACAAAACTGATACGCCTCCCTATTGAGTAATGTATTGTATAGCTCCATTACCTTGTAATTTTTCCCTTAATTTTGATAATTTGTTCCGTAAACATCACAGCTGTTTAGAGCGGGGGCTTCAAAATCTACCCTGTATCATCGTAAGCACAGATTATTATATTAGAGTCCGTTAGTTTGTGTTCCCGCGCGTTCCCTTCCCCTCCCTTACCTACAGTACTGAACTGACCGTACAGCGGCCTTGACGCGCGCGCGCATTGTGTTGTGAATTAATATAAATTAGAACTGTGTTAAACCTACTGTGAAACTGTAAAGCTAGCGAAGATATCTTCGAGACCCTGAAGCCCAAGAAATCCGCAGAACCATACAGGTACGTGACTGACGCTTCCACACTTATTTTTCCCTATATATATATACAGAGTAAATTCCCTAACATTTTGGGAGCAGAGAGTACTTTCCCTAACAGACAATGTTGCTTCGTGTCCGGTTACATTTAAATTGACATTTATTGACATTGCTACAATTACGGAAACATTTAAACAATTAAATTTAAAAAATACTGAAGACCATTGGGGCATGCCTGTTAAAGTTATTAACACCGCTATAGATGTTATTGCTCCATATTTAGTAACTATCTTCAATAAATGTATTTTTGACGGTGTTTTTTCCAATTTAATGAAACATAGCAAAATAATTCCACTTTATAAGTCAGGGGATAAAACTGAAGTAGGTAATTATAGGCCCATTTCTATCTTACCAGTACTAAGTAAAGTGTTTGAACAAATTATGTTCAATCAAATGCTTCAACACTTTAAAACAAATAGACTGCTTCACAGTCAGCAATTTGGTTTCACAGCCGGTAAATCAACTACTGACGCTGGTGTAGCTTTAATGAAACACATTTTTCACTGTTGGGAGAGGTCTCAGAATGCTATCGGTATATTCTGTGACCTTTCAAAAGCATTTGATTGCGTTGATCATGAAACACTCTTGCTCAAACTAGAACATTACGGTATTAGATATGAAGCACTAAGCATGATGAAATCCTATCTAAATAATAGAATGCAAGTTGTTGAAATAAATGGTGTAAAGTCTGAGGGAATTAGTGTTGAAATGGGTGTTCCTCAGGGCTCTATTCTAGGTCCTTTCTTATTTTTAGTTTACATAAACGATCTTCCTTATATGGTAGAAAAGATAGCTGACATAGTTCTGTTTGCTGATGATACTTCATTAGTATTCAAAGTCAATCGACATATTGATGATATGGACGAAGTAAATGGTGCTCTCTCTTATGTTTTGAAATGGTTTACTGCTAATAATATGCTTCTAAATGCAAATAAAACTAAATGTATCAAATTTACGCTCCCCAATGTAAGGACAGTAGATTCAAAAATCGTATTGGACAATAAACCTATTTATTTTGTTGACGAAACTGTATTTTTAGGTATCACATTAGATTCCAAGTTGCAATGGGGTGCTCATATTGCTAAATTGGCGAGTCGACTTAGTTCTGCCGCTTATGCGGTAAGAAGAATTAGACAATTAACAGACGTGGCAACGGCTAAACTTGTCTATTTTAGCTATTTCCATAGCATTATGTCGTATGGTATTTTGTTATGGGGCAAAGCAGCTGATATAAATACAATATTTAGTTTACAAAAGAGGGCATTATTATATCATTATTTATTTATATTTAAGTTCTAACTTGGCCAGTTCTCATATACCAATTATTACTTTCGATTGCTAGTTACTACTAATATTAAAATAGGAACCGACAAGTAACATGTTTAGAACTTGCGAAGGCTACAGTATATTTCGTATATGAAAACTAGCCAAGTTAGACCTTAGGCTACAGTATATTATCCTAAGTTATAAGAAGAAATGATATTTTATATTGTTATAAATACATTTCAGGACAGACCATTGAACTTGGCACCCATTTAGATCTCATCTCTTTTGTCGTAGAAGTCAACAATCAAGGCATATATCATAATATTAAACTCGGCTATCATTTTACATTTATGTTTTTGATGGGATATCATTACTTTTTGTACATAAATTATACGAGGTACTTATTTATAACTAAATTAATACCAAATTATTTTTGATAACTGTATTTTCGTATATTTACGGGATATAATTGTCTTTTTTTTGTGTTATTTTCTATATTTTCTTGTAACTTTTAAATGTTGAAGTCCAAAGCCAATTCAGTATCAGGAATTTTTGGGCAAATCGGGGCGGTATAACGTCCACAGATGGTTGTACTCTACAATAGAGCTCTCGTGACTTGGATCTAAATTGTTAAGACGTACTCCATCTAAGGTTTTAACTCTGGAGAGTCCAACGTAAACCTGCCCTTTATTAAATATAGAGGAGCCTATGTTGAGAAGAGGACTGCCAAAACTAAGGCCTTGTGATTTGTGGATAGTAATAGCATATGTTAAGCAAATACGGAATTGTTCTCTTTCAACATATACATTATTTAACATCTGAAACTTCGTATTGACACGTTATAGTTCATAAAGACGATTATGTAACAAATTGACTGTTATCTATTGAATTCTCAAGAAAACAATTTGTTACCAATGAGTTCTCATTCTCGAGTTAACTCGTACATTCCTACTTATAACTGTACTAAAATTATTATTAATTTTTGGTTTAAACTATTGTCTATACCATACGTATTTACTAAAATAATGTAATAATAATATAACCACAAATATATAAGTATAATTTAAGAAAACTATGAATTTCGTAGCATAAATCGCAACCTTATACATAGGTTAGTTCAACGTTTTATCGCACCGCTCCCACACGGCGCCGCCGCGGCGCCCTATACCGAAATGCCTATTATTTAATAATTATTTATAAAAATAATGATCTTACACTATCGATGTGCGCTAAATATTGAAACAATAATTAATACCAAATCTCAGTTAATAACATAATAAATACGAAATTCGACTATACTCCTAGTTATAAGTACGAGTATATTTTAGACAGAATCTAAATTATAGCAACTAGTGTTTACCGCTCAATGCAATATTTGAAGTTTGCTAGTTATCGACACTGATGTGAAGGGGTCAACGTAAATTGGTGGCTATCGACGTTTTCATAGAATTTTAGTATTTGTAAGCGACGCACTACTTATATATAATTTATTGTATATTTTTATGTCATGTTCCTCTTAAGATGTTCTTGTTTTGCCCTATTGTTTAGAAATGTATGTATACCTGTATTACGCACCTACGTATGATTTTTATTAAAGGTACAGGTATGTGCAATGACCCGCCGTACTGTCCGTAAGCAAGCGCAAGCCTCCCCACCTAATTGCTTAGTAGCTTCCCACCAACCAACGCGAACGCGGCTTGTTGCACGTCCTAGTTTTAAACTACGCAATATCTTTTATTTTCATCCCTTATAATCTGATCCTTCGACCCAAATCTACACCAGTGTACAGTGAAGTACAATCATGTTTGTAACACCTCCCCGCGATAAACTCACAATAAAAGAACGCAATAAGTTGTGCGACAGGTTAGATAGTGCTAGTGAACATGTGCTCGGCTCAAGCCGCATGGTAGTACCGAGCCCCGCTAAACCCACGGCTCGCAGTGATATTGTTCATGACCGTAAAATGTCTACATCGCGTCATACTATCAAGAATGAATCGGTTGTTACCAAAGAATCTACGTCGTTAACTCGACGCAAGCAACTGGAGCTGGAAGCTGCCAACGCTAAAGCTAAAATACAGATGGAGCTGATCGACAAAAAGCTGGAAGTCGATTTGGCTATGCTTGAAGAAGACGATGGTGTCGCGTCTAGATGTCCATCCCGAATAAGCAGGACTAGCAGCCGGAGGAAGGCGCAGTCTCATGTGGAACAGTGGTTAGAGCAGAGCAACATACAGCCGACAGGAATTGAGGTTCCAGAGGCGGCAGCAACGACGAACGAGGCAGGGCTGGCAGCTAATGTTAAGGATATAAGCCATGTTCCTGCTCCCGAGATGCCCGTCGATAGTATCTTGCAGCTAGCTCACACATTGAAGGACATCATGACTACCTCGTCTACGCAGCAGGATGACCGCCTGTTGACCCGGTTGTCCACACCACGAGAGTTACCATCATACAGTGGTGACCCTATAGAATGGTTGCATTTCAAAAATGCTTATATAGAATCCACTAATACATGCCGGTTTAGTGATTCAGAAAATTTGTGGAGACTACGTCGAGCCCTGAAAAGTGACGCCAAGGAAGCCGTCACTGACTTGTTGATCGGCAACACATCACCAGAATTTGTAATCCAGTCATTAGAGATGAGGTTTGGGCGCCCTGATGTCATCATACAGCACCTTACTTCACAAATGAGAAAGTTAAGTCCATTACCTACTTCTTATCATCATGACCTAATTAATTTTTCTGTTAAAATAAATAACTGCATTGCAACGTTACTTGCACTCAATCAATTAGATTATTTACGCACTCCAGAATTATTATCTGCAATTATATCCAAGTTACCCAGTATTCTTATAACTAAATGGACAGAATATATAAGTTACAGTTATTGGCTACATTTTTAAAGCAGGAAGCTGAGATGGTGATCGTTGTGGGAGTATCACAGTATAAAAAATCAGAGTCCGTACCCCACAAAAAGATTGATGACAGATCACGATACAGTCGACCTATTTTTACCACTACATCAAAACCAGATAGTATATTCTGTAACTTTTGTAACAAGTCCGCTCATTTCCTAACCGATTGCAGAGTATTCAAGCGAGCTATGAGAAAGGACCGGTGGAGATATGCTAAGATGCAAGGCTTATGTTATAATTGTTTATCTAGTAAACATGATAAAACCGTATGCACGGCACCTATGTGCGGTATTGAAAACTGTGGACTCGCGCACCACCCATTACTTCATTATAAAAAGCCTACTACGTCACGTGAGAAGCCGACTGTCGAGGCACAATCATCAACATCGGCCGCCGACGCAGATAACACGATCGTGGCGCATGTGGCCGCGGCGCGCGCGCACGA